AGCTGGCGGATGCCGGGGCTCGGCGGGCAGGGGGGCTGGCTCTGGCCGAGGAGTAGCTTGGGAGCCTTCAGGGACACTCACAGTGGCTGTGTGCACGCACTGGTGTCTGCACCCGGTATGCAGCATTGTGTCCATAACTAGGCTCCTGAGCCTGCCTTTCTGCTCTTGTGTCCTGAGAGAGCGCTCTGGGCCTCCGAGGGCCCCGTGCTGTTCAGCCCGGTGCACGACTGTCGTTTTTCAAAATGTAATTCTCTTTGTCCACATTGAATTCTAGTAGCTGCCTCTTGTGCATGGGCTGAGGTGACAGGCCCAGAGTCATCTTAGGTCGATTTGGACAGTATTTGGCTGCCGTACCACTTGCAAAACAGGCTCTGTTGAATGCTGGCAGCTGCTGTGTCTGGGGGCGCAGATTGTTCTCTGGGGTGTGTCTGTCTGTGTGGAGACATCCACACATTCTGTGGGCACATCCATGGACTGGTGGGAATGTGGCCCTGCGGGCCCAGTCACCTGTGTGTGCGTGCCTGTCCCTGCATTGCCGCTGGCTGGCTCCATATGGAAGGTTCTGGAGTGTATCATTTTCACCAGCGATCTGTGCAGTGTTCACATGTGTGAGTTGGCTGGAAGGTATGAAAGGGAGGAGGCTCAGCTGGGTTGGGCAGGATGGCATCTTAACTTGGGTCCGAGCTGCTGAGAAGGCATGAGTAAGTGCCCAGAGGTCTCCAGCACGTGGCACACATCGTGAGGGAGGGCTGAAGACACAGCTTGTGGAAAAACTCCTAAGTGCACTGTAGGGCAGAGGGTAGAGTGGAGAGGTCAGGGAGCGAATGGGAGCGCCATCAGGCCAGGGTGGATGTCTGTGTTTAACTTGTGGGCAACTGCATTGTACTGGAGAGCAGCAGTTGGCATCCGGAGACTGGATTCGAATCAGAGCTCAGTGCTTGTTACCGTGTCAGTAGCATTGTTCCCTGGACAGGTCTTCTGGGGCTCAGTTGCTTTGTGTGCAAAATGAGACTAATGACCACTGTCCTGCCTACCTCCCAGGGTGGGTGGTGGCTCAAAGCCGTTTATGCCTGGGAAAGTGCTTTAACAGCAGGAAGTCTGCTAGGGCAAGGGGCGAGTGCTGGACCCGCGGGTGCTGAGCTGGTGGTTTGGGGAGTGCTTTGGTGGCCTGGAGTGTGTTCTTTGTGGGTAGCAGAGGGGGTTATCTGCATGCAGCTTCCTGAGGCATTCAGCAGAATAGCACTGTCTGCCTAGAGCCTGTTTTGGGACTCTTCATGTGTAAAATACATACAGGCCTGTGTGGTTTCCTGTAGTTTTCATAGTTTTGTGCCTTCTGTAGCACAAGAGGAAAACTGGCTTTGATATTCTTTAAATTGCCCTGAAGCTCCTTGACTTTCCAGAGAGTCTTCCTGTAGATGAGCCCAGAGGACTTTGTACCCACCACCTTGCTTTTATCTTTATGCCACCAAATGAAGCAGTAAGGAGCACTTTCCACAATTTGCAGCCAGGGAGATAGGAGAAGAAGAAGCTTTCCCACACAGGTCACAGGTCTGAGATGTCAACTGCGGGGTCTATCTTTTGGACTATCGAGCCATCAGACCCAGGGCCAACCCCGGACCAGGCTGCTGAGGGGAGGGAAGGTGTCAAGGGTCATGCACAGATGGCACCAATTCGGTTGGGTGGTTTGTCTGCCCTTTATTGTCACCTGTCACCCACACTTCTTTGCGTGTAGTGGCTGTTTAGTAAATGTTTGTGAAAGGAAAAAGCCCTGGGTGGGGGATCCTGGAAACCCAGGGTCAACTACTGGCTGGACTCCCTGGCCACTGTATCCTGCAGAAAGTTGCATCACCTCTTTGGGTCTGCTTCCTCATTAGTCAGAATCGGGGCATCTTTGCAGATTACCACTCTGACCTCAGCTTCCTCAGAGAGGCCTTTCCTGGTCCCCCATCTAAAGCACCCACCTCCTGGCCACGATCACATGGCCCTGAGCTGTTTCATTCCTAGTACTTACCACTGTCTGGACTTACCTTTGCTGTATTCTAGTACAATGTGAGCTTAGTGAAAGCAGGGGCTGCCTTTGTCCTGTTTCCTGAAGCTTTTACCAGCACCTAGAACATAGTAGATGCTCGAGAAGTATTGTTGTGTGAGTGAGTGAATAAATTGAAAAGGGAGGGATCATAGTGTTTTTCAAACTGTGCTCCTAGGAGCTTTCTCAATAAGCTTCATAGGCTGGGCCCTGGGTCGCTCATACCAACACCTCGGGATTAATCTAAGTTATGTGTCCACTTCCAGGTAGGATTTTCTTTGGAGAAAGGGTTCTCCCACTAAAATAAAACTAGGAAACCATTGTACCAGAAGACTTATAGGGATCTTTTCAACTCCAAGTTGAAATTACAGTACTGCAGCTGGAAGGAATCCATACTTGGCCTTCAACAAGGACCATACGCAGTGATTCAGACACCCTAGATGGTGATTCCACATTTCCTCTGTTTGGCCATGGAATTCATTCCATACTTGTCTTTATGCAACTGGTTTAATTTTGAGAGTCTTTGGTCAAAGTTAATATGAGAATGATTCTGCATACACTACAGCAACAAGGGGTCTGTGGGAACTCTGCTCCGTGAGTGAGACAGGGAGGAAACACTAGCCATCTGCAAGGTGGGTAAGCCACATGCCAGTATGTGACAGCTACCTATTTAGGGTGACTGTGTTTGTCATTGTCCTCCCTTGGGTGTGTTCCCAGGCAAACTGCCCAGACATGCCTCATCCCCAATAGATGCCCACTCGGCGTCGTTTTTCCTGAGTCCTTGGCAGTGCAGAGGGCCAGTTCTCTCTGAGCGGTCACTGAGCCTAGTGGACAGCACCTGATGGAATGGCCCGGACCTGTATTCACAGCAGCCGCGCTTCCTGGGGTTTCCAAGCTCAGCTCCCTGGAGAACATTCTCATGTTGTCTCTTCCTGCAAACACAGCTGCAAATGGCAGCACGACCTCTGTGTCCAATACTATGTC